GGCTGCGGGGCTGGGAAGTTGCTGAAGGCTGTGAAGTAACTTACGCCCAGCCCACTCTCTCGGCTTTGGGGCTGCTTCGCCCGCGGCGTTTGCACCGCGGGGCCCGCAGGGGTGGGCCAGCCGGGCGCTCCTCGTTGCAAGCCCGCCGCCCCTCCGGAGCTGCCGCAAAGCCAGCCCGCTGCGGGCCTGTCGACCCTGCTATATCCAGGACCCCTCAAAATGCGTCTCCTCAGCTGTGTCTCGCTTTAACGTTTGCCTTACGGCGACAGGCGCAAGGGGGAGGGCGGAGGGGTACCCAGGATCTTAAACGTGGAACAAATCGGGAGAAAATCGAAAAGGAGAGGAAGTTAAAATGCGAATTAAGTTTAGCCTTTGCTCCTTTAAGGCAGGAGAAGGCTGGCAGGTAGGATAGCCCCTGTAAGGATAGCCCCTTCACCCCGGCCAGAAAAATTGGAGGTAAACGTGACTAACAGGTGTTGGGCTGCAGCAAGCACGCGTGGGGAAGAGGCAGGATGGAAGAAAGTGACAACTAAAAACACGTTTCAATGTATCGTAGAAATCTGCACTTGAAATCTACATTTGGTGTAATAAAATATAATCTTATTAACCAATATCACCCCAATAAATTTAATTTTTAAAAAAGTAAAGAAAAAAAATCAATGAAAGCATGCCCTCCGGTGAGGATTTAAGAAAGGAAAGGAAGAAAGGAAGGGGGAGGAAGGGAAGGAGAGGGAGAGAGGAGGGGGAAAAAGGGAAGAAGGAAAACCACCCCCGCGAGGGGCCTGGCGTGGCTCCGCTGTTGAGCATGGACCTAGGACCCAGGAGATCCCGGTTGGGTTCCGGTTCCGGTCGGGGCACACGCCGGGTTGCCGGCTGGATCCCCAAGTCGGGCGCGTCCAGGAGGCAGCCGATCAATGACGACTTTCTCATCATTGATGTTTCTGTCTCTCTCTTCCTCTCCGTTCCTCTCTCTGCAGTCAATAAAGATATATAAAAAAGAAAAGGAAAACCACAGTCCTAAAGTTGTGACACGAGTTGTATGGCAGGGCCAGAGCCGCCGGGTAAGAGCTGTCGTAGCCGCCTCCCCGCCCTCTCCGCGGATGGTGCGCCCAAGGGCCCGCAGCAAGGACGGACCGCAGCGCCCGGAGCGCGCGTGGCTCGCTCGCTCCGCTCTAGTTCACAGCCGACGATTTTCAGCAGATCTGCTCTAAGAGGAACGCTGGTGGTGCAACTCACCAGAACACGGAGCAAACTTTTTAAACAAGTCATTTGTAGAGCTGGTCAGGTGGGCAGCAGATGGATGTTTCTAGGGATATAATTCTATGACTGATAATGTTTACAAGTTGTTGCCTGTAAAAAGTGGTATGCACTGAGCAGAGCTGCTGTTAGATACAATTGTGAGGGTCCCTGTCGCTAAAGATGTTAAGGGGAAATGATCAATTTACATATAAAAGTTCAACTTAAACTGATTCAAAATAATAAAATGTGTTACTATATGCCAGACACTGTTCTAAGTATCTTATATGTATTAATTAGCTCATTTATAGGCCTCTATAAAAACTCATTTATAGGTTTTTATAGAAATGCTGATATTTGTGCACATATAGATATGGAAACATTTATTTCAGCCTTGTTTGTAATAGGAAAAAATAATTCCAAACCACCTAAGTATCAATACAGGAATGACTAAATAAAGTTATGATATGTAAATACTGTAGAATAATACTATTCATTGTTGTTGTTTAAAACATTGAAATAGATATATAGTACTCTTCCGGTTACTCTGGATGCATTGCAAATTACCCCCACAACATAGTGGTATAAAAAAACCATGTTTATTATGCTCAGATTCTGTGGGTCAGGAATTCAGACAGCACAGCAGGAATGACTTGAAGGCAGAGAAAGAGAATCATCTGAAAACTTTTCACTCTTACGTTGGTGATGGATGCTGACTGGAGGCTGCAGGCTGGAGACCTCAGTTCCATTCCATGTAGAAGTCTTCATGTCTCAGTATAGACTGGTTTGGGCTTCCTCACAGCATGATGGCCGTGTTCTAAGGATGAGAGAGAGGGGGAGA